CAGCAGGACCAGCCCCAGCCGCAGCCGCCGTCCCAGCAGCACCCGCCGCAGCCGTGGGCTCGTCTCCCGCCTGGTTGGCCCGGCACCTCCGGAGGCGGTGGCCGTGGTGGCGGCCCGCGCAGCTTGGCGTCTACCAGCGGCTCCAGTGCTGTGACCTGCCAGTACCAGCTTCAGACCGGGCCTCTCCGCGGCACTCTGTGCCGCCGCCCGCACCCGACCGCCCGCTGTTTCCGCCGCCTCGACGATCTTTTTCGTCGTCGCTTTGGCCCGGCCCCGGACCTCCCTGACTGGCACAGCCTGCTCCGCCAGGGCGTGCCGATCTTTGAGTTAGACATCGATCAGATAGGTGCTGCTTTGCATGCTTTGTATGCTGACGCTTCTAGTGTTGATGGATCTTACTACCCTGTGTACTCTAGTTTAGGTGTTTCACCCTTGTGTAGCTTAGCTTCCCCTGCTGCGACAGGCGTAGGACTGCCTAGGTTGCCTAGTCTAGTCGCTGCACCGGCTCCGTCCCCGGCCCCCGCCACTGCGTCGCTGTCCTTCACTCTCGACTCTGGTGCTTCTGCCTGCTTCTTCCGCGACCGTTCCACGCTCACGCCGCTTGCTGCACCTGCTGTTGTCTCTCTCGCTGACCCCTCTGCGGGTCCGGTCGTCGCGCGCAGTTCTACGTCCCTTCCCTGTCCGGCAGTTCCCTCGGGCTCCCTTACTGGCCTCCACGTTCCCTCGTTCTCCAGGAACCTGGTTGGTGTCGGCTGTCTCCAGGACCTCGGCGTCACCACCACGTTCCCCGGGCACGAGCGGTTCGCTGTCTGTTCTGAGGCTGTCTCAGGTTCCCCCCTTGCGACGTTCCCCCGGGACCCGGTGTCCGGTCTGTTTACCCTACACACCGCTTCCCCCCCGGTTGGTGCGTCCTCCCAGGTCGCTGCAGCTTGCTCGTGTCGGTCCCTCACTCACCCCTCCCTTCTCTGGCACCACCGCTTAGGTCACCCTGCTCTCCCGCGTCTGCGTCACATGTCCCAGCACGGTCTTGTCTTAGGTCTCCCCGCGTCGCTCCCTGCCCTTCCTCCCTCGACTGCGCCACCGTGCACGCCTTGCGTCGAGGGTCGGCTCCGCCGTGCTCCTCACTCCTCCTCGCTGCGTCCTGCTACTGCCCCCTTCAGACCCTGCACTTGGACGTTTGGGGCCCTGCCCCCGTCCCCGGACCGCGCGGTGAGCGCTACTTCCTTGTGCTTGTCGACGACTACACGCGCTACACCACGGTGTTTCCCCTGGAGCGGAAGGCCGACGTGCCCGACGTTCTTCTCCCGTGGGTTGTGGCTGCGCGTCTCCACCGCGGTCTCCCCGTGTTGTGTCTCCACTCCGACCGTGGCGGCGAGTTCGCCTCTGGTCGGCTTGGACAGTTCTGTCGTGCGGAGGGCATCACCCAGTCGTACACGTTGCCGGACTCGCCACAAGCAGAATGGGGTTGCTGAGCGCCGCATCGGCTTGGTCATGGGAGGTCGCCCGTTACCTCCATGATCCATGCCGATGCCCCCCATTTTCTGTGGCCGTTCGCTGTTCGCTACGCGGCTCACCAGCTTAAACCTGTGGCCACGCTCCCAGCGGCCGCAGGTTTCGGCCGACCCTCCTTTGGACCGGGTCCCCCGGTGACGCCGTCTGCGTTCCACGTCTGGGGCTGCCTTGCTCACGTTCGTGCCTCTGGCACGGACAAGCTCACTGCCCGCACTGTCCCCTGTGTCTTCCTCGGTTTCCCCTTGGACTCGTCTGACTGGCTTTTCTACCACCCGCCGTCTCACCGCTTCCTCCACTCTCGTGACGTCACCTTTGACGAGTCCGTCTCCTTCTACCGCCGCTTCCCTCACCGAGGTCTCCCAGTTGCCCCCCCCCTTTTCCTTGCTCCCTCTCCCCCGGTAGCCCCTGCCCCTCTCCCGCCTCGTCCTGCCCCGTCTGGTGTCTCCCACGTCACTCCCCTCCCGTCGGTTGTCCCCGTTGAGGAGTCTGCTGACTCTGGTGGTACCCCCCGGTCCGTCCTTGCGCGTCCCCCTTCCCCGGTGCCTCCGCCCCCACTGTCGCAGTCGCCGACCCCGCTGCCGCCGCCGTCGCCGTCGCCGCCGCAGCCGTCGCCGCTGTCGGTCGCCGCCGCGCCGCCGCTGTCGCTGCCGCAGCCGTCGCCGCTGTCGCCGCCGCCGCAGCCGTTGCCGGCCACTGCCGCCGCTGCTCTCGGCCCCTGGGGGTGCTGGTGTGGAGGAGGGTGTTCGTCCTGCGGCTTCTGGGGGTGCCGCTGGTGTTGGAGGGGGTTCTCGCTCTGGGGGTGTTGGTTCTGGGGGTGCTGCTGTTGAGTGTTCTGCCGACGGTCGTTCTGCCTCTGCTGGTCCGAGAGTTCCGGCCCAGCCGTCGTCGCCGCCGCAGCAGCCGTCGCCGCCGGTTTCCGCTCTCCGCCTGCTCGGCTTCCCTCCCCGGACCGCGCGCCGGTGTCTCCCCCACCGCCTCCTGACCTCCCTGTCTACGGTCCTGTGTTCCCGCCGCCAGACTCGTCTCCGGCCCGTCTTCCTCCTCGTTCCCCTCCTGTGTCTCCTCCCGCTGTCCCCTGACCCTACCCCTCCGTCTCACGTTTGGGCTCGCCGTCCCTCCCGTGCTCGTCCGTCTCTCCTGTCCTGCCCACCCACCCTATGTTGCTCCCGTTCCCACTCGTCTCGTCCTCCCCTCCTCCCGTCCCCTCCTCCCTCGTCCCTTGCTGTTGCACCTCCTCCGTCTCTGACTACCTCCGTGCTGCTCGTTCCCTTGTCCCTCGGTCCTTGCCTCTCTTGTTACCGACCCTGCTGTTCCTGTCTCGCGCCTTGACGCGCTTGTCGCTGCTGTCGCTGACTTCGCTTCTACCCGCCGCCTTGACTACGCTACCGGCTCTGGTCTCTGACCCCTGCCCGTCCTCTGTCCGTCGGGGGTGCTCCTGCCCTTGGCAGTGACGTCCTAGAGGACAGGCAGTACGAGCTGGCTTCCTTTCCGAGGCTGCTCCCCATCTCTGCTCCATGCTGTTAGTCCCTGAGGGTGACCCAGACGCCTTCGACATCCCGACCCCTCGCACCTACGCTGAGGCCACCTCGGGACCTTGGGCCTCTCAGTGGATAGCTGCCATGGAGCAGGAGATGGCATCTTGGAGATCCACCGGCACTTACGTCGACGCAGTTCCCCCGCCTGGGTGAACGTAGTCGATGGTCGGTGGCTCTTCAAGGTGAAGCGCCCCCCTGGAGAGCCGCCTGTCTTCAAGGCGCGCTACGTGGCCAGAGGTTTCAGTCAGCGCGAGGGGGTTGACTTCTTCCAGACCTTCGCCCCGACCCCGAAGATGACACTCTTCGGGCGCTGCTACACGTAGCAGCACAGCGTGACTACGAGCTTCACTCTCTCGACTTCTCTACTGCCTTTCTTCAGGGCAGCCTACACGAGCAGGTCTATCTGCGCCGACCACAGGGCTTCACTGGTACCTTCCCTCCTGGGACCCAGTGGCTTCTCAGGCGCCCGGTCTACGGCCTGCGTCAGGCTCCCCGCGAGTGGCACGACACGCTACGTGCCACGTTAGCAGACCTGCAGTTCTTCCGTCCTCTGCTGACCCTTCACTGTTTGTGCGTTCCGGCCAGACTCCGTTCTACATCCTTGTCTACGTAGACGACCTGGTCTTCGCTACTCCTGACAGGGACGCACTGGCCTCTGTGAAGGCTGAGCTGCTGAAGAGAACACACCTGCACTGACCTTGGAGAGCTGCGTCGCTATCTTGGCCTGCAGATCTCTAGGGACAGAGCAGCACGCACCTATCACTCTGACCCAGTCACACTTGGTGCGTCAGGTCCTTCAGAGGTTCGGTCTTCAGTTCTCCTCCGCACAGCCCACACCTCTACCCGTAGACCATGGGCTCTCTGCTCCCGTTCCTGAGGAGCCAGTAGAGCCCAGTGGCCCCTACGCAGAGCTGGTGGGTTGCCTCATGTACCTGATGACTTGCACTCGCCCAGATCTCGCATACCCTCTCAGCATCCTGGCTCCGCTTTGTGGCTACAGGCAGACCACCGACCTCAGCACTGGTCTGCCGCTAAGAGGGTTTTGCGTTATCTTGCTAGTACATCAGGCATGGGTTAGTGCTAGGAGGACGCAGGCCAGTGGTCCTTACTGGGCACACAGACGCTTCTTGGCAGACGACGCTGAGACGCTCAGGTCGTCGCAGGGCTACTGTTTCAGCCTTGGTTCGGGTGCTATCTCTTGGAGATCCACTCGCTCGTCGTCTGTGGCTCCCAGTCTCTAGCTGTGAGGCTGAGATCTACGCTGGTGCCATGGCGGCACAGGAGCTCCGCTGGCTGACCTTCTGTGTCTCACAGACTTAGGGTGAGCGGCCGTAGCTCTGCCCCCGGTCCTGTACGCTGACAACAGGGCCATGGATACTCCTGTGTCAGGAGCCTCGGCTTGAGGGCAGAGCGAAGCATATCCAGCTGCGGTACTTCCTCCTGCGCGAGCTACAGCAGCGCCGCCAGGCCCGCGTAGTTCACTTGGCCTCAGGTGCCAACACAGCTGATATCTTTACTAAGGCGCTTGCGCCTAAAGATCATCAGCGGCACTGTGTACAGCTTGGTCTTGTTCCTATAGCTGCTCCCCTGTTAGGATCCTGATTGTGTACTCTCTATTATATATGCTTGTCAGACTGGCCTTGTGGCCTTACCTCCAGTGGCTGGACTAGTAGTGCCACCCTGGCTTGCTTCAGTTTTGGTTGTATTCTTGCTGACTGGTCTCCAGACCCCTGCCTCAGTGGTTGGACTAGTAGTGCCGCCCTGAGCTGTTTGCTTCTTGTTTAGTTTCACCCCTTGTCTAGCCTAGGGGGTGTGTCAACTTATACATATTATCTATGTAGAAGTTATAGGCTAGACTGAGGTATGCTTCTAGTGAGTACAACCAACTAGTATTTGTTCTAGGTTTCCACCTCTAGTAATCATTCGTTTCTACGTTGTTGGAAATATCTCAAGGACTTAAGCGTTTCTGAAGTGTAACACTGTACTCGAGGAAGATTACAGGGGAGCACGCGAGTCAACGGAGGTTACACGAGGGGGCGGACAAAGAATGCGAAAGGACTCGAAAGGTCGCAACTGGAGGTTGCGACTGACCGTTACAACATCACGGATGGTAAACCGAAGCGGCAATCGAGTCGCTGTGCGACTCGATAAACCGTTCCTGTAACTGTATTCTACAACTGCTTCCTTATCTTCTATATATTGCTGTATGCTTGTTTCTTTAATTAATCACTTGTTCTCACATACTAGTACAAGGGTTCAACTGCCTCAACTTCCGCTGCACTACTCCAAGTCTCAAGTCTCTACAGCTGGGACTTAGTCTCTGCAAAAGATCCTAAGGGCTTTTCTCAGCCCAACATGGTATGAGAGCTGGTCAGAGACCATGCTCCCGAGGCTGACGCAGCAGAAGAAGACGTCCCTGGAGCCTCGGAGGCTGCCGGACCACTCCCCTACTGCTCCGTACCTGTTCCACTCGATGAAGATAATCCTCCTCGATAGCAACAACCTCGACACCTTTTACCACTTCGCTGACCAAGGCTACGCTACACCACACCCCGTCGACTCGAATATTTCCGAACGCATCGGGCCAAACTTCTTACCCGATCCTGAAGACGGTGATGAAGCAGCTTATCCCGAATGAAAACTTCCCCTCGACACACAGCCACGGGACTGCAGATCCTAGGACTATGGGTCTCCGTCCAGCACCCGCCGCCGCCTTCTCCGCGCGAGCCTTCGACCCTGTCGCAGGCTCTGGGGGGGAACATAAGGCAAATGGAAGGAAGCGATGGAAAAGAGTTAAAAGCTCTGCAAGACCGAGAAACATGGAAACTGGTACCTGCAACGAGCATCAACGGGAAGAACATTCTCTCGGGGAAATGGGTGTACCGCATCAAGACCAACTCAGACGGCTCCATCGAACGATTCAAAGCTCGATGGGTCGTACGAGGCTTCGATCAACGATACGGAACCGACTACACAGAAACCTTCGCTCCAGTCTCCCGTCACACCTCTTGCGCATCCTACTCGCCGTCGCGGCCACGAAGAAACTACCACTACGGCAAATCGACGTTGCAAACGCCTTCTTGTACGCACCTGTGGACGCCGAATCTTCGTCGAACAACCCCACGGATTCATCGACGACCCCAAAAGTATGCCAGCTGAAAAATCCCTTTACGGGATCAAGCAAGCCCCACGGCTCTGGCAGCAGCACCTTCACGGCCGTCTCGTAAAAATCGGATTCCTACAGCTACCACATGACCAAGGCATGTACCGACTGCAGAAGGGAAGAGATTACATTCTGCTCATCGTCTACGTCGACGACCTGCTCTACATCGGTTCTACTACCACCGACATCGTCACCTGGTTCGAAGGGGAGCTGAAAAGGGACCTGACGCTCACGGTGTCCGACGAGTGACCAGTACCTAGGACTGAATGTCGTCGAAGACGACACGGCGTTCTACCTACACGCTGGAAAGTACTCAGGCACCGTCGCGAAGAAATTCGGTCTAACACCGACTACGGTCCCAACTCCCTACCGCTACGGGAACAACAAGCGCCTCCGCAAAACTCCCCGCGAAGCAAATCCAGGAGTATCAACAGAAGCTCGGCTGCCTACTATTCGCAGCAGTAACCTGCCGACCCGACCTGTCCTATAGTGCGAGTCAACTGGCGACACATCTGAAGCAACCGGAACAGGAAGATCTCGAAGCTCAACGGCGCTACTCTACTTCGTCTCCACGCCGACGATCGGGCTTACCTACAGCAAGCAACAACACCGTCCGTACGACTACTCGGATACGTCGACGCCGACCACGCGGGAGATAGGGAAAATCGACGATCTAGGACGGGCTACATCTACCGACTAGAACCTATCGGAACTATCTCCTGGCAGTCGAGCAAGCAGGAGTTAATCGCACTATCCTCGGCTGAAGCAGAGTATATCGCCCTTTGTACTGCGACCAAGGAAGGACTCTACCTACGAGAGTTACTCGAGGAAGCGAAGATCGCGACCCTGCCCGCCTTCTCACTCCTCTGCGACAACCAATCTGCGATCAAAATCGCGAACAAGGACGGCTTCGCCAACCGAACCAAGCACATCGCCCTGCGGTACTTCTTCGTCAAGGATGAAATCGCGAAGGGGAGACTTCAACTCAGTTACTGCCCGACGACAGAAATGGCCGCAGATATCTGACGAAGAAATTGGCGAAAGCAAAATTCGACTACTGCATGCTCTGACCGGGCAAACAAACGTCACCGGATCTGAACATCAGCACTCCAGAAACGAAGGGGAGTGTTGGAAATATCTCAAAGGACTTAAGCGTTTCTGAAGTGTAACACTGTACTCGAGGAAGATTACAGGGGAGCACGCGAGTCAACGGAGGTTACACGAGGGGGCGGACAAAGAATGCGAAAGGACTCGAAAGGTCGCAACTGGAGGTTGCGACTGACCGTTACAACATCACGGATGGTAACCGAAGCGGCAATCGAGTCGCTGTGCGACTCGATAAACCGTTCCTGTAACTGTATTCTACAACTGCTTTCTTATCTTCTATATATTGCTGTATGCTTGTTTCTTTAATCAATCACTTGTTCTCACATACTAGTACAAGGGTTCAACTGCCTCAACTTCCGCTGCACTACTCCAAGTCTCAAGTCTCTACAGCTGGGACTTAGTCTCTGCAAAAGATCCTAAGGGCTTTTCTCAGCCCAACATGGTATGAGAGCTGGTCAGAGACCAAACTCCCAGCAACTACGCTCCATCAACAACCTGCAACTCAACTCAATTCAACGACTTCATTGATTACAAGACATGGACAGCAAGGGCAAGAAAGTCTCTACGGGCTCACCCAGCGCCCAAGAAACTCAACACGGCAACTCTGGTCTGCACACCTCAGGACTGCAGACAGAGACCGGGACTGCTCAAGAAACAACGGGAAGAGCACCAGAGATGGTGACTCCGTCTCCCTCTTCAAGTGTGGACCCGAATCTCATGGAGAGATTCTTCAGCTTCATGTCACACTTCGACCAGCAGCAGCAGACAAGGACACCTGCGCACTCAACACAGAGCAATGGAGGAATATGGGATTAGCGCCGATGAGCCTCGACAACTCATCCTTCGGGCGACACAACCAAGCGCCTACCTTTGCGCCTTATCATTCTTCGCCGGGGACGTTCGAATTCATGCCGCCCCGTGCCCAGCCAACAGCAGCTGCATCACAACAAACACCGAATGAAATCTTAAGTTTACAGGCGCAGTTCTCACACGTGATCAAACTTCAGACATCCTCACCGTTCAACGGACACGACTTCTTTACCTGGAGCTTCGAGTTCGAGCTGCTGATGGAGGCCGCGCATCTTCTGGGATACTTCAACGGGTCCCTGCCATTCCCAAGCAACGGCACTGGGAAGGAACAAGAGATCTTCACGTATCAGTCGCTGCTGGCGTACACGGTACTCCTGAGAAACCTGTCACCACAAGAGCAGCAGAGCATCAGAACGTATCGGAGTTATGGAAACTCCGCGGAGCTCGCATGGCACCACCTCAAGTGCCTTTACCAAGCAAACGACAGCGTGACACAAAGCAGACTCATGCAACAGCTGACAACAATACAGATGAAGACCGGGGAAAAGGCGATGCAGTATATGAGTCGCTGCCAGACCCTCCGCGACCGCCTGCTTCGGTGCGGAGGAACGATCACTGAAGAAAGCTTCGTGACACTTGTCCTCGCCGGGCTCGGGCCAGAATGGAGAACCACACGATCACTTCTTCGAGCCCACGGAAGAATTTCGGAGATGCACCTCTGCGCCGAGCTTCACGCTGAACAACAGGAGATGGATCTGTTCGAGGAAAGACAACCAAGGAAGCAACAGCAGTTAGTCTTCTACACTCAAAGAAGAAATGACAACAACTACAACCGACGCAGCAAGCAAGATCAACGCGACAACCGAGGACTCACCATCGTGCCGCCGTTCTGCCACAACTGTCAGACTTCCGGGCACTCCAAGGTCAACTGCAACCGCCCTCGCGTTTACCGTGCAGCAGACCCACAAGTCGCTTCCACTCAAGCAAGTCCTCCAAGGCGCTCTTCAACATCTGCACAACAAACACCAACATCATCAACTGCATGGTACACATCGACAACTGCGCACCCGCTTCACCACCCACTTACGCACCAGACGAAGAGGAATTCCCGCCGCCGCGCTCGCAAGGACTTCAGGTCAACCCGACATACGCTGCAGTCGCTAACGCCGAACCCACCGGGCGAAACACTGGTTCTTGGACAGTTGCTGCGGTCAGCACATGTGCTCCTCCGGACGCTTCGTACAACACGAGCGACGCCTCAACCGCGACGTCGTCATCACCGTCGCCAACAACGAAAACCTGAAAAAAACAGACAAGGCGTGGTTCAGTTACAATCAATGGAGACAAACGTTATTCTTCAGCTCAACAAAGTCCTCATCGTCGACAATCTGGGATACAACCTACTAAGCGTAAGCCAACTAATGGCTAAGGGGATTCACCTGGAGTGCGACTCCTTCTCCAACGAGTTCCGACTTTACCACGGGAAGGGCGGCCTCTTCATCGGTCGTGCCCTCCTGAAGTCCGGTGTCTTCGTGTTGGACTTCGTCCCCGACCGCGGAACTGCCGACAGCGATGGCATCGTATCGTTCGCCGCCTGGACTCACCCGCCGATCTTGATCCCGACTTCGACAGTGACGGCTTCTGGCACTCCAACACCATACCTGCAGCAGAGAGAACACGAGCATTAGCAGTTATCAGACAAGAAAGACAAGTACCCGCAAGCGTCCCAACAAAACCATCACCTGCAGTATCGGCAGCAGGACCCAGCCGAGTACCACCACCATCAACACGAGGACCGCCAACGAAGCAGACCAACTTATGCCCGCCACACGAGAAGCTTGTCGAAGTCCCGCCTCGGTCGTCGCGTTCTTCTCCAACGCCGACATCTACCACCGCTCGCCCGGTCACCGCGCTCCCGACGACATCTGGCACCAACGTCTCGGACATCCTGCAAACAGCACGATACTACAAACAATCCAAGCAGAGGTGTTAGAACGCAACGCCCTTCTAACGACGAGCGGCCAAGAACTTCGACGACCACGAGCACGGTGCTTCACGTGCCCCGAAGCAGATCTTCCTCATCAACCTTTCCCATCCCATCACAATCCAAGCGCACCCACTTACGCTCCGATGGAAAAGTCTACAGCGATATTCTAAACATGCCTCGAGACGACACCGAAGCCGACTTCAACTACGTCATCACGTTCATCGACGCCGCAACCAGATACGTCTGGCACTTCAATCTCAAAACGCGCGATCAAGCCTTCGAGCCTTCACACATGGCTTCCATCGCCGAACGAGAATCAGGAACCAAACTCAAGAGTTTCCAGTCAGACGGTGCACTGGAATACCAGTCACAACGCTTCAGGACCTATCTGGCGGAAAGGGAATCGACGCCTGGTGTCTCTGCCCTATGCTCACCAGCAGCAGGGGGTAGCAGAACGCATGAACCGGACCTTGCAGACGACGATGCGAAAACTGCTTCTGGGGATGAGGCTGCCCAACACTGTGGCCAGACGCGATGACACATGCAGTCCACCTGCACAACCTGTTGTCCTCGTCATCGCTCCCAACAACGCATCACCGCACCTGTGTGGACGGGAAAAAGGGGCAGCACAAAATTACTTCGAGTTTTCGGCTGCATGGTACAATACAGACCCCACACAGCCCGAGCAGGACGCTTCACTCAACGAGCTCGGTGGGGACTACACCTCGGCATCGCCAAAATTTTCACGCGTGGAAATTCTCGACATACAAGACAAAAATACGGTGGCATCACGTGATGTTATCTTCTACGAGCGACTGACGCTGCAGCATTACCTGGACAACATTGCCAACTCAGACGACCCCACCGACGGCTTCGCGGGCCTTCGCTCCTTCGCTGACCATGCTGCCGAGCTGACGCAGCAGAAGAAGACGTACCTGGAGCCTCGGAAGCTGCCGGACCACTCCCCTACTGTTCCGTACCTGTTCCACTCGATGAAGATAATCCCTCGATAGCAACAACCTCGACACCTTTTACCACTTCGCTGACCAAGGCTACGCTACACCACACCCCGTCGACTCGAATATTTCGAACGCATCGGCCAAACTTCTTACCCGATCCTGAAGACGGTGACGAAGCAGCTTATCCGGAATGAAAATTCCCCTCGACACACAGCCACGGGACTGCAGATCTAGGCTATGGGTCTCCGTCCAGCACCGCCGCCGCCTTCTCCGCGCGAGCCCGACCCTGTCGCAGGCTCTGGGGGGGAACATAAGGCAAATGGAAGGAAGCGATGGAAAAAGAGTTAAAAGCTCTGCAAGACCGAGAAACATGGAAACTGGTACCTGCAACGAGCATCAACGGGAAGAACATTCTCTCGGGGAAATGGGTGTACCGCATCAAGACCAACTCAGACGGCTCCATCGAACGATTCAAAGCTCGATGGGTCGTACGAGGCTTCGATCAACGATACGGAACCGACTACACAGAAACCTTCGCTCCAGTCTCCCGTCACACCTCTCTGCGCATCCTACTCGCCGTCGCGGCCACGAAGAAACTACCACTACGCAAATCGACGTCGCAAACGCCTTCTTGTACGCACCTGTGGACGCCGAATCTTCGTCGAACAACCCCACGGATTCATCGACGACCCCACGAAAATATGCCAGCTGAAAAATCCCTTACGGGATCAAGCAAGCCCCACGGCTCTGGCAGCAGCACCTTCACGGCCGGCTCGTAAAAATCGGATTCCTACAGCTACCACATGACCAAGGCATGTACCGACTACAGAAGGGAAGAGATTACATTCTGCTCATCGTCTACGTCGACGACCTGCTCTACATCGGTTCTACCACCGACATCGTCACCTGGTTCGAAGGGGAGCTGAAAGGGACCTGACGCTCACGGTGTCCGACGAAGTGACCAGTACCTAGGACTGAACGTCGTCGAAGACGACACGGCGTTCTACCTACACGCTGGAAAGTACTCAAGCACCGTCGCGAAGAAATTCGGTCTAACACCGACTGCGGTCCCAACTCCCTACCGCTACGGGAACAACAGTAGCGCCTCCACAAAACTCCCCGCGAAACAAATCCAGGAGTATCAACAGAAGCTCGGCTGCCTACTATTCGCAGCAGTAACCTGCCGACCCGACCTATCCTATAGTGCGAGTCAGCTGGCGACACATCTGAAGCAGCCGCAACAGGAAGATCTCGAAGAACTCAATCGAGCGCTACTCTACTTCGTCTCCACGCCGACGATCGGGCTCACCTACAGCAAGGCAACAACACCGTCCGTACGACTACTCGGATACGTCGACGCCGACCACGCGGGAGACAGCGAAAATCGACGGTCTAGGACGGGCTACATCTACCGACTAGAACCTATCGGAACTATCTCCTGGCAGTCGAGCAAGCAGGAGTTAATCGCACTATCCTCGGCTGAAGCAGAGTATATCGCCCTTTGTACTGCGACCAAGGAAGGACTCTACCTACGAGAGTTACTCGAAGAAGCGAAGATCGCGACCCTGCCCGCCTTCTCACTCCTCTGCGACAACCAATCTGCGATCAAAATCGCGAACAAGGACGGCTTCGCCAACCGAACCAAGCACATCGCCCTGCGGTACTTCTTCGTCAAGGATGAAATCGCGAAGGGGAGACTTCAACTCAGTTACTGCCCGACGACAGAAATGGCCGCAGATTATCTGACGAAGAAATTGGCGAAAGCAAAATTCGACTACTGCATGCTCCTACCGGGCAAACAAACGTCACCGGATCTGAACACTCCAGCACTCCAGAAACGAAGGGGAGTGTTGGAAATATCTCAAGGACTTAAGCGTTTCTGAAGTGTAACACTGTACTCGAGGAAGATTACAGGGGAGCACGCGAGTCAACGGAGGTTACACGAGGGGGCGGACAAAGAATGCGAAAGGACTCGAAAGGTCGCAACTGGAGGTTGCGACTGACCGTTACAACATCACGGATGGTAACCGAAGCGGCAATCGAGTCGCTGTGCGACTCGATAAACCGTTCCTGTAACTGTATTCTACAACTGCTTTCTTATCTTCTATATATTGCTGTATGCTTGTTTCTTTAATCAATCACTTGTTCTCACATACTAGTACAAGGGTTCAACTGCCTCAACTTCCGCTGCACTACTCCAAGTCTCAAGTCTCTACAGCTGGGACTTAGTCTCTGCAAAAGATCCTAAGGGCTTTTCTCAGCCCAACATACGTTAACATTCCTAGCTAAGCTAGTCTTGTGTCAGGAGTTCGTCTCCTTCACAGCAAACTTCTCTTCTAGTCAAATCACAATCTGTAATTTTTTTTATACAATTTTTTGACAATTTTTTTACAATTCGTACAATTTTTTTTTGACATGGGTTGTACTCTCTAAGGCACAACCCTATATATTCTACAAAAACATACAATATATGTTTGACAGTTGCACGCCTTTCTTTTTTGGTTTAGCCATGCGACCCTCGGACTCGTCGCATCGTGTTCCTTTCTTGGGTACGATCTGTTATGCATCGTCAACGAATCAGTGTGGGCTGCAAGTTAGCAACATTTGTTTTTTCAAGTCTGGGAATATATTCCAGTGGAAGTAGGTCCCTTTTCTCTGACTGCAAAAAGAACCCAATTTTCAAGTGCACCCCCCCCTTTGCTATTCCTAGCCTGTGGTTTTAACAGTTCAGCCTGCTTTCAAAGAGAATGTAGAATGCTCGTGAAGGTACACTTTATTTCCGACAGGTAGATGCATTTCTGGACTCCCCCGACCCCTACTCCGAGCTGAAATATCCCTTCACATTGCAGGACTTCGTTCACGTTAGTCAGACCTCCGTCGACACTGTGGTGTTGGTCGTCTTGAAAATGAGGCATCTTCGGCTCTGCAAGATTGAAGAATGAGAAGCCTGATGTACAGTGAACTAGGTGCGTCATCAACATCACTCAGGCTGACCTGTGGAAACCCCTTTCGGCTGTCGCCATTGTTTATCCAGCCACTCATGCTCAGATAGAAGTTGCTGACACGAAGTATCACGCATCTCCCCATGAAATCCTGTACGACAATGATGTAGTCACTGTCGAATCGTGTTTCCATCTTTTGCATCTCTACTATAGTATGCGCACCTCAAAAATCTCTGGCTGGATTGGATGAGCTCCGACGACATCAGCTTTATTCCAGTCGTCAATCTCGCTCATAAAGAAAAACGTCGTCCCGCAAGATTCTGATGCAATTAGTGTTAGAATCTTCGAAGTAACAAAAGCGAGATACGATACGAGGATGAGTAACACGTACCGTGTCGTTGAAAAACTCGCAGTGGTCCGAAGATGCTGTGTGACGAGCCTCTCGCCGTTTCTGGTCGAAAATGATCACTCATAAAGCCTTTGTGGGAGTCCTTCCAAAGACACAAGCAAAAGCCATACCTGTGAAATATTTTAGCATGCGACAAAATCATGTTCCCTGAAACAGCTCCGATGTTGAAGCTGGGAATAGTGCTGAGGCTTCCATTGAAGTAAAAGTCGCATCCCTGAAAACCATTGAGCAGCGTTAAGGAAGGCCTTCGATGTCGAACATAAGTAGCAGAAGTGAAAGGCATCACATTGAGGGGGAAGCGACGACATGGAATTCCATCTTCCGTTCCTTGCGCACTGACAAAAGACTGCCAGGAGCAATGCGAGGTTAGAACAGATTCGAACCGCCAGATTAGGGTTAGTGCGTGCAACACAAAGAGCTCACGTGAGAGAGTCAGGGAAGAAGCATGGCCTTCACTGCTGCCATCTCTGCAAGTAGTGCAAATTCTAGTTCGGAGCTGTTCAACGACACCTGAATTTGTACCATTTTACTTCTCCCCTTCAATGACGAGGCTGGGATTCCCGATTTCGTCTGCAGAGGACTTCATCATAACAACTCTTTCTCATGTAAATTTGTACACCAAATATGCTGGTACATTGTCGGCATCTAAACTTATGAAAATCTATATTCATCTATATTTTTAATTCAATAGTTTATGAACTTTTGTATAAGCATGCCTATTCCTACAGCACTCATTTAACGAATTGCCTATAAAAAAATCTCTGATACGTGTATCTTGTCAACAAACATGCATTTATATGTTAGATAAGCTATATTTGTTATAGTATAGCTAGATAAGTTCTTAGAGGGCACAACACCCACTCTTGTACTATCAACATTTCTCTAGTCACTTTTCCATGCCCTACTTTCCTTTGGTATCAGTATCAAATTAGAGAAGTGAATAATGATAGAGTGAGAGTACACACAGATATACCTAAGTGTTGTACCCTCTAAG